TCCTTGACAACATTTATGTACGTTTCGGCAATAAAGTTTATCGACAGATTGTAGGTATTCCTATGGGCACCAATTGTGCATCTTTAATAGCAGAATTGTTAATTTACTGTTATGAATCACAGTTTATGGCCAAACTCAGTAAAGAACCGTCTAAATTCCATTTAATTGATAAATTCAACAACACTTACCGTTATCTTGATGATATTTTTTCGTTAAATAATCAAGAATTCTCTAACTATACTGCTGAAATTTACCCAAAGGAGCTTACTTTAAATAATTTTAATATCAACAGCAATAACTGTACTTTCCTAGATTTAGATATATCAGTATTACACCAGAAACTCTACACAAAAATTTACGACAAAAGGGATGAATTTCTTTCCCTATTGTTAATTTTCCCTTTTTGGACGGTGATGTTCCTTTGGCACCGTCTTACGGTGTTTATATATCCTTACTCGTTCGCTATGCTCGTGTCTACGTGTCTGTAGTGACGTTTTGGATTTTAATGAACGTAATCTATGTAATACTAGTAAATTATTAAGTCAAGGATTTCATTACCACAAATTACTTAAAACCTTAAATTTACTAAATTTTATCATAGATACAAAAATTTGGTCTGCAAGTTTGGCTGTACCTGTAGAAAACTTATTTCAAACGGAATAGCACATCCTAAATTTTACGGTGATGTTGTAAACCGAGCCCGGAAATTTAGATACGATCCGGGTAAACTTATCAATCCTTTAAATAAACTTATTCTAAAAGGTTACCTATTCAACACTGTAATTAAATCTTTGAATATTGTTTTATTGGTGTAAATATTGATTTTGTTATCAGTAAATTAAAACCATACTAAATATTACACACATGTACTTTCACGGTACTACAATCTGTCGATACTTATAGTTTGGCATTGCACAAGGTCATGTTTTTCTATGACTGTAAATGACGTCTTACACTAAATCCATTGGATGTTGGATGTGTACTGATTGATATTCTAGTCTTAGATACATGATTATTTTCATTAGTTGTTATTGGCTTTGAACATGCTGTCAGTAACTGCGAGTACTCTCAGATCTGTACTTAGTGTCTTTTTGTTTTTGGGATGTACAAGTACCCGTCCACGTCCACTTTGTTTTTTTGTTAGATGTATTTCTATTTGTATCCATCTAATGAGTTGAGCCTTTTTCAGCTGATTTTTATAGTTTGTTCTGATGTTGTACTGTTACACCACTGTCCCAGGTTAGGGGAGGGTTGAACGCTCATAAACATGTTTAACCCCGCCATATTCTTTATGTGCCTGTCCCAAGTCAGGAGCCCGTAGTTCAGTGGTTGTCGTTGGTTCATGTCTGTCATATTTGTTTTTCGTAAACTGTTTTGTTATAAATTAGGCCGTTAGTTTTCTCAATTGAATTGTTTCATATTTTTCATGTCGGGGCCTTTTATATGGCAAATACTCTTACCCTTCACGGAGACGCTTGATCAAGTGTGCGCTTTATTAAATACGGATGGTTGTTATGTACAAGACGTCATAGTTTATTACTTTGGATTTGAAATTTAATCGACAGTAATGACATTCAGTATAATAAATTAAATAACACATATCTGAGAGGGTGATAGAGCAGATTGTTACCCCTCGAAAAGACATTGTCAACCTTGGCTTCGCCTCAGTTGACAATGTTTTATCGGGGTAACAATCTGCTCTATCACCCGCTCAGCTATGTGTTATTTATATAATGTTGATGACCTCATAATGAAATCTTAAATGGTATTACTGCACTTATCACCTTCTTTATAAACAAATGAAATTATCATAAAATTATAAAGAATTAATGACGAAACTACTATGTTTTGAATTTCAGGCGCTTACAATTGCTTTTATACGAAAGCTCCCTTTTCTCAAACATGTTTGTTTAAGAAGTCCGATAAAAAAGAGAAATACTTTAATTCAAAGAAAGTCTTAATTCAAATATAGAAAAGGTGGCATGGGTTATTCCACATTGCAGTCCAACTACAATGAATAGACAAAAATCAAACATGATATCTTCGACAACAAAAAAATTACTATACAATATGCAAAGCTCTAAACTTTAAGGATAATTTTTAAAGGATGTGAGAAATCTTTTGAAATGTATTATTTGTGTCTTTAAATGTTTAAATTTTACTACGTTTCACACTCTGCACTTTTCTATAATCAGAAACATATATGCAGAAGTGGCCATACTTTTCTGACTTAATGAAATAAACAAACAATCAAGGAATAGTGGTCGATTAACATATACAATATATATATGTCTGGAAAAAACAACGATGAAAAAATACAAACGCAGCTGATTAAGTAAGAAATCACCTCACTCCCTTTCCAGTGTTTATACATTCCCCCTCAACGAAATTGGTAAATCTTAAAATATGTATTAGGCTGAATGAATTGTACGTAACAATGCAAAAAAAATAATTTCATTGTAATCAGCAATGAGACGGCTAGCTTTTTAGAAAAGCTTTTACTTGTCCACACTAATCATTAATACTTTAATTGATAATTACACCTTATATAAGAATGCCGGATTTTGATTGTGTATTTTTCGCATATTCTAACATTTTTTCCTTATTTAAAACGAATTTGCCTGTTTTTCACCACTGCCGGTGAATTTGCCTCAAATTCCCCTCTCTGCCGTGGTATTTGCCATTTTTGAATATTCCCTTTTTACCCTCGCGAGCCCCTTTCCGCCAAAATTTTTTTCGGAACCTTTCTCACTTTATCCCGATTATTAAGACAACATGGTTAAGCACTATAGGAATAACTGTACTGTAGTTGAAGAGTTGCCACCGTCAATTGGCGATTTGACGGTCGCAAATGCAGTTTTACTGGCGACGCGTAGCGGAGACAGTAAAACGAAATTTGCGACCGTCAAATCAAAATTGACGGTGGCAACTCTTCAACTACAGTACTGTTATTCCGATTCTAATGCATTACAAAAAGAATTCTAATGCAATTATTTTGTATCAATGGTTCTGATTGGATGACAGTAAGCGTACAATTCTCTATCTCCTTGTCTGTAACTAAGGAAGCCGACATTTTGAATTCCGGAATGTATTGACATGTAATTTCTCCACTAATAAGCAAAATAACTTACATTTTGCACCCACAAATTTTCTTTTTATCAAATTTTATTCCATTCTTAAGCGGACAAGAAGCCAGAAAACGTGTTTACGTTTGATGCCGGAAGCTTACCTATGACGTCACATAGTTTAGGCGCCAAAGAAGATAACATTATTTCGCGGAATTTTTGTTTAATGAAAATTTTACACTGAAATAATGACTTAAATTCAACGATTTGTTTATTTTGCATTAGAATAGAGATAACTGTATTGTATTTGAAGCTTTGCGGACGTCCATCGGTAGTTTTACTGTCGCAAATATCCGTTTACCTGTCTCCTCTACGCTTCGCCAGGTAAACTCAATTTGCGACAGTAAAACTACCGATGGACGTCCGCAAAGCTTCAAATACAATACAGTTATCTCTTAAATAATACGTTAGAGCTTGAAAAAATGTATAAATTTGAAATTTAATAAAATTCCGCGAAACTTCATGAATGATTCTGGCCTAAAGACGTCATGGCTAAACATGACGTCATACAAATGAAAACTTACAAACTGAAGGTTATTTCGTTACTTCTACGATTCAAATTTGGATAAAATCACACCAAAACGGCGATTTTGAGGTAGGTGTTGTTTTAATTTTCGATAATATTGTAGTAATTGAACATTTGTTAATCCATGAATTCAAAATGGCGGGTCCCTCCTTAGTTACGACTGGTCAACTGTGGATTTGACGGCAACTATTAGCCAATGAAAAAAAATTGTTACATAAAAATTGCATTAGATTAGACTGGGATCCCGCTATGTATAATCACCTTGTTCTATACATATATATGATATATGAAATATGTAATATGCACATTCATCTAGACATGAGAACCAGTCTAAAGCACTATTGAAAGTTAAATCGAAAACTGTAAACAAAAAAGTCAGAGATATACATATAAAGTGGAAAAAAGACGTCTATACAAATGAACGATTTAATGATGGAATAACAATGACGTTTACACATAGATATCATGACGTTACAGAAAGACAGCACTAACGCGTATATAAGTACATGTATAATTCTCGCGGTATTATTCTCTTCACCTGTGTAGACAGTTTCAATCAAAATCTATTCAGTGTAATTAAACAGACTTATCATGTTATGGAGGGGTATTTGCGAAAAATACCAGTCTTGGGACAAAATGTCCCTCGCCTAGAGGCTTGGGAAATTTCACAGTCCCTTGACTGGTATTTTTCGCAAATACCCCTCCATAACATGATATATCTGTTCAAAGTATACATGTGATTTTTCTTTTGTCTCAGCTCTTTATTGGTCGGAATTCAATTTTAATGTAAAATTATCTTAACGTTCTATTTCGATTTCATTGTGACGTCCTAAAAGTCTGTATAACGTCCCACAGAGTAAATACATACCAGGTATTTTGCGGATAATTTGGGCAAATGTCAAACTTAGAAGTAAGAAAATACAATCATCATAAATCGAAAAGGGAAATTCGACTTCACAAGAAACAGTCCGCAAGACAGAAATAAGAAAGAATACATTACTTAACACAAACCCTAATCGTTACAGTTACATTTCAAACATTAAATGAAAACTGCTCAACAGGCATTACGTTATGAAATATGATAATTTTGGCGAAACCATAAAAAAACGTTTTATTTAAATTTCACTCGACTTTTATCCCATATTTCTTTTTGACTTTTATCCCATATTTCTTTTTGACTTTTATCCCATATTTCTTTTTGACTTTTATCCCATATTTCTTTTTGATTTTTATCCCATATTTCTTTTTGATTTTTATCTTATATATATTTTTTTGGACTTTTATCACATATTTCTTTTTATTCATGTTCATATATATTTTTTTTAATAAATACGCATTTTTTTTTTTACCTCTGTTGCAAAATACTTAAACACTTGATTTTGTTTTGAGCAAAATTGGTAGCAAATCTGTGTCGACATCTCATTATGTGGATTTCCATCTTGAAAGTCCAAGGCTCTTGACCAGTTGTCATTATAGCACCCAAAATACTTATATTCTGTAAAGAAATTTCAACAACGTTTCACTAAATTTGAACCGACTAGTGCTTTGGAAAACTTGTAGGATTTCAATTTTTTTTATATAATATTATATCAAAAAAGTACTAAATATTTAAGCCGTATTAAAATGCTCAAAGATTTCGATAAGCTATGTTTGTTTATGGACCAGTTTATCTCACCGTTGAAAGTTGTTATTATTTACTGTGTAAACAGTACTACCAAATAATCATAGATATTTTTTGATTTTATTAAATTGTCTTTTTACTTATTGATTTGATTTTTGATTTTTGGTGTTTTAACGCCACTTTTAAGCACCGCTTTTGGGCTATTTCGTGGCGGCCAGTTTTTATTGGCGGAGGAAGCCGGAGTGCCCGGAGAAAACCACCGACCTTCGATAGGAAAACTGACAATCCTAGTCAATTAAGATTGGAGTCGAGTGCACACGCACGAGCGGGGTTAGAACTCACAACCTCAGTGTTGACTGGCTAGTGATTACAGTAGTAACTACTTAGACCACTCGGCCACCGAGGCCCCCTCTTTTTATTTATGAATCTGGGTGTAAAAATATCTGTTGCCGTCGTTACAATTTCATTTTTTAAATAATTAAGCTTACAAAAAAATGACAAGAAACGTTCTGAACAAGAAAAGAAATTCCCAATACCTTAAAAAGGAGATGTGGTATGATTGCCTATGAAACAACTATTCGCCAGAGTCCAAATGACGTGGATACAAGCAAATATAGGTTAAGTACTTTTTTGCTTGAGTATAATATTTAAGTTTGTTATGTAGATATATCATTCAGTCACAAGAATTGTATTCCGATGAGAATTTACTTTGCCTCTCTAACCCCATATTTGTTTTCTATTATGAATATCGTTTCATGATTCAATTTCACAAAGATCATACGTAACACTTGATACATGCAGGTATTTGAACGGAACATTTTCTCTAAATAATCCATTATTTTCTGAATATTTCAAAGAAATTTTTTTACATTAACTAACTCTTAAATCCAATGTTATACTGTGACTTTGAGATGAAGAACAGCAATAAAAGCGCTGTTCCTTTGCTTATTGTGTGTTTTTTTGCTGTGCATGTACTGATTTTGTGTCATGGATGGATACCCCATATCCTTTGTTTTTCTATTATAAGAAAACGTTGACTATTTTTAGACCTTGTAATTGGAATTTTAATTACAAACGTATTAAAATTAATGACAAACGCAAGACCTTTCCTTGTATTGCACACCCGATTAGTTTAATTGTTTTACCATGTATGAAGCAAATCAGTTAAGGAATTACCCCTCAAATTTCCTTTCCGCTTAATAATCGTATCAATAAAGATTATGACTATAGTGCTGTTGGTAAATCACTGTTTCTCTGGTACTTTTATTAGGAGAGGGATAGATTTCCATCCATTTTATTTATTGTTATAGTTAGAAAGACTTTTTTTCCCTGTATTGTAATTTTATAAACATTTACTCTGGACATTGCACAATGTCTAGTCTTCTTGCCTCGTTTATGATGTTGATATATTAAATCTACTTGGAAGAACAGCCGCCGATGCTAAAGCATGATTTCTACTTTCACCTTAGAAAATTAAGTACTTCACTACAAAAACTCTTTGTAGACGTCATTGTCAAATTTACTGTCAACTACCATTTTTTTGTTGGCGTCTTAGTTATATTTATTTGTATGTTTGTTTGAATTTTTTTATTAGTTGTGTTGTATGTCTGTGATGTATGCTAGTAGTCCTTTGTTAATTTATGTATCATTGCCATTTTTCTTAGTTTCTTTTGTTACCTATTTTAACATCGGACTCGGACTTCTTTTGAACTGAATTCCCCCCGCCATATTTTTGCGACTGTCCCATGTCACGAGCCTCTGGCCTTTGTTAGTCTTGTATGTTTTTTAATTTCAGTTTATTTATATGTTTTGGGGTTTAGTCTGACGTCCATTTTCACTGAACTAGTGCACATTTTTTTAGAGGCCAGCTGAAGCCCGCCTGTGGATGCGCGATTTTATCGCTGTGTTGAAGACCCATTGGTGGCCTTCGGCTGTTTTCTGATCTTTGGTCGGGTTGTTGTCTCTTTGATACATTCACCATTTCCATTTTCAATATTATTACACAGTTATGGCTGCTGGATCCCATTTATTGTCACATTAACCTATTATGTCTGTTTGGGTTGCTCACCCTGAATATTCATTCAAATCACAGTTATACACACTTAACACACAAGCTTTCAGTTTCTACCGATCGCTATCGATTCAATTATTCACGATACATTATTGACCGTTCTAAATTGGATTTATACTTTTGACCAACTCCTTCAACCCACTATCGATCTTTGTTATAATAAATTAATAATAATAATAATAATAATAATAATAATAATAATAATAATTAAAAACCAATTGTTCAGAGAACAATTGAAGGTCTTTCCACCCGAAAAGATCTATTTTGATACAAAAACATTAAAATTCGGTTTAAAATGTTATTTCCAGCGTCAAATGATAGCTTATTGTACGCTGGTTTAAAAAAATATATGGTTTCTAGACATTTTTTTTTTAAATAAGGAAGATAATTTGTTACTTCCGGTTTGAAAAATGTCACTTCCGGTATTATTTGATAGTTTACCTGACACTGATTCCAAAAATATATGGTTCTATATACTTGTACATTACACAAGTACAAAAAATAGCTACTTCCGGTTTAGACTAGGCCACTTCCGGTTGGCTTTTCCATGGTCATATGGCTTGCAACTTAATGCATAAAGTCCCATGGCTTTATCATGTATACATATGAAATAAAAGCAAAGGTCAAAATCTAGAACGTCAAATTTACCTATGACCTTGAGCTCAATTTGAAGGTCATAAATCAAGAACCTCAAATCAAAAGACACTAGGTCGTTTTTATATATGGTGATTGAGTTATATCACCATACACGTAATTTTAAATCTAAGAGGGGAGAAAACTTCAATTTAATGTTGGCGTACCTTTTTCAACCAAAATGTATGTGTTACAACATGTCGCAACTAACAATTTAGTAAAAATATGTAGTTGATATCTTATACGGTTTTGAAAAGAAGTAAACTCAAGCCAAAATCTAAATTTAGAATATGACCTTGACCTCTGACCTTGACCTAATTTTCTTTTTTTTTTTACCAAAGACCTCAAGTCAAAAGATCTAAGGTCTCTATCACTTATGGTTTACCAGTTAGAAATACACATCCCTTAAATCAAATGTATAAGGGGGAATAACTCTCATATGGAGTCTCCGGATAGCTTCGGTCAAAATAAAACGTAACATCCTGAGGATATAATGAGCATTTTGGAAAAATTATTTTGTCGCTTTCTTTTACGGTTACGAAAGAGATCTCATAACAAGAAAAACAGTGTTCGGGAAGATAACTCTTACATAGAAAAGTGTTCGGTTAAACAGGGTCAGTTTCAAAAGCATATAGACTGTGTGATATTATATACAAAAAAACTAAGCGACATCTTTTGAAACAAAAATAAAGCACAAGAAAAAAATTTGGCGGAAGAAAAAAAAAATAATCAGAACAAAACCAATAGGTCTTTCCACGGAAAAGTGTAAAGACCTAATAATAAAAATATTATATAAAGTCCTCATAACGAGATCATCTCCTATATATTTATCAATTTTTGACTTTTGACGAGGTCAATACGTTAATCATGGACCTGTTCGGATTATATTGACCGAAGACGAAAGTCTCAGGTTCAATATAATCTAACGGGTCCATATATAACGTATTGACTGAGTGAACGTCCTTAATTTATATTTAACATATGTAAATTATAGTGTAAGTTTGAAAATGACAATGACTCGATGTTACTATTTTTGGAAATGATATTGACTCGATCTTACTATTTTTAGTAACATGGAGTCAATATCATTTCTAAAAAAAGTAACGTCGAGTCAATATGTCAAAATAGTGAAAAAATACAAAATATATATTGGAAAACACGTGACCAAATAAACTAATGAGAAACAAGAAAAATCAAACCATATGTAATATAGTAAGATATATAATGAGCATACAAAATGCTGTAATTTTTCTCATGAATCTTACCACATCTGTAAGCTACGTCAATTGTCCTTGGTATTTGGTAATGTGTAAAATTGATATAAGTTTCATTTACTAGACAGGACTGTCTTTCATTGCATATTCCTTCTAACGGATGCCGTGCTTGTGTTGAATTATCATCACTGAGAATATAATTACTGCTAGTTTCAATATAATAAGGTTCTTTTCGCGGTCCAAATTGAACACTGGTTATTTTGATATTCGAATTCTTGATGCACGAGAGTTTGACTGGTTCATTTTCACACACCGTGATGGTTCCTGAAAAATAGAAACTAAATCGTATGGAAACATCAACAAAATTATTTTTAAAAACTATTCATTGATTCCTGCTTTGTTATGAACATTTCTGACTTTTTAGTGAATCTAGGACACCCATAAAAATATGCGCGCGTTGTAAATATTAGACTTGGTATTCTTTTGACAAAGTCCGCGATTGCTCTGATGTCTCGCTAACCTTTTTAGGAATTGTGGGGCCCATTATGTCCTGAAACAACCATCATATATCAGAGAAATATCAGACTACCTTTCGACCGTGTTAAAATAGGCTTACTATAATGCCCTCAGTCTGCATTTTATTTTCTGTAGATCTTATTCCACAAACAACACATTTAAGTTATATGTACAGTCTATTTAGGAGTTGATTTGTAAGTGATTTACAATACAGGGTCGTAAAAAATACTCGTGTAGCGCATGCGACAAGAATTTTCCAAACCCCTTGATTGTCAATCCCTTACAACTCCTAAATTGTAGTGCAAATGTTTTTTTATATTTACTGGTATTTTATGCGACTGTCATGGTTGCTTTAAAAATAGGTTTAATCCACCATTTTCTACATAAGAAACCTGTACCAAGTCAGGAATATGACAGTTGTTTTCCATTCGTTT